TGTCGGAGGATTTCGTTTACCCAGGRGGTGAAGTAGTCCGAGTYGTATAGCAACRACTCCGAGCTTTCAGAGCKTGTCATTATGTCATTGGAGCAGMAAGGGATCTAAGGGTGGGCTCGCAGCGATTGCGATCACCACGTGGGAACTCGTGTAAGCTGCGCGAACGAGCCTCACTTACGCGTGTTCACATGAGATGATTGCTCCGTCGCGAATCCCGGATGGCCGTGTTCAATCGGACCATGCTTCTGCAATTAGCGAATCGATACTCGGGGATACGTGTAACGGCGCAGATCTGGTCACGCTTACATGCGTCTTCATGCGGCGTTCGTTGGGCCAGACATTTGACTGCCTAATCACTGCTCAATGCAGAAATCACCATGGCTTAATCAAAGGATAAGCGAAAAACGGAAAAAGAATAAAAATTCCTATGCTACCCAGTAAGCAAGGGTGGAGGCAAGGATCGGCGAGAAGACAAACGCAACATTCATTCATTCATCATTCCCATCTCCTATCATCCTATCAAAGATGAAAATCGCAAAGTATGCAAGATGCAACAGCCACAACGGCTCAAAACAATAGTGAAAACAACATTGGAGACCTATGCAAAATTCCTACTCTTCCTACGAGTACATCAAGACGAAAAACAAAGGCAGGGGTGAGAATCAGCAAACAGACATCACATCCATTCATTCGATAATACAGACACACAATATAGTCGAGGAGGAAATCGCAATTTAAAGACAAGTTCGAGCAAAAACCCAAGTCCAGATTCCGAAAAATAGAAGGAAAAACGAAAACGGGCAACTCGCCCTGAGCCGCAATCAAAATTTATGTACATAGGCAAGGAGGGGGAAAAGATAAAAGAAACAGCAAATCCGTGCCCATCAACCTCAGCTCCCTCTTCCTCTCTCTKCTTCTCCAATGYGGACAGTCCRTCGTCACGCACCAACCCTTGAAGTCGTCACCCCGCTTAGTCCTCCTGCACCCGTCAGATTCRCCTGTGCCCACAGTCCGTCGTGGCCCACGTCAATCCCGCGCGTTTGGYACCTGCTCGTCGGGTCGCCCGACTCCTACTCTACTCACCTCTTACTTCGCTCGTGTGCCGACCCTTCCTGATCGCGCAACCCCGAGCTTCCAACAACTGGTTAAGAGACCTAACTAATCAAGCAGCCAAAATTTATAGCGTGCATGCCTGCGCGAAGAACACAAAATTACAAGGACTTAGAGGGAGAGAAGGGGGAGGGATTTCCTACGTCTGCATGGCCAGATCGTGGCGTGGGGGAAGTAGCCACTTTCCATGCATCGATCCGACTAGGCAGGCCGCGGCTTCCAAAACATAGCAAAAGAAAAGAGACAAAGGGCGGGAAGGGCGAACCATAAGAAGAAAGATACAGTTACAATGGTGTCCATAATGTTTTTTTTATAGGAGCGTGGGGGTCATCGGAGGGTAACCCCCCACATTTTTTTCAATTTTTTTTTTTTCCGAATAATATATTTTTTTAAATTAAAAACGAAAAAAAAAAAGCAACCAGCCAAAATAAGCTTTTTCGTTTGTTATTTTGTATGTTATTTCCTAGGCTACCAGCCGGGCCGCCCGGGTCCCGAGTGGCCAGCCCGTGCAAAGAGGTCCCAACAAAAAAAAAAAAAAAATAAAAAAAAATCCGAAAAACAACTGTGTTATGCAGAAACATAAACTGAACAACTTTTGCCTCAGGGTCACATTGAAATTCTTCACAAAAATTAAAATTAAAATAAAAAATAAAAAATATGTTTTTTATTTTTATTTTTTTGGCCCGGCCGGGCAAGTGACCCCGGGCCACTCTGGTAGCCTAGGTTATTTCCATTTTTTTCACACCTTTTTTTTTTTTTCTTTTTTTTCTTTTTTTTTGAAGGCACGGGGGTGTACAAGGCCCCCGCACCACCCCCCTCCTACCCTGATCCAGACCGTTTCGGCCTCCACGTGGGCGGAAATCACGTGAACGAATGTTCACAGATTTTGGCCCCCGTGACCGGCCGGTCACGTTCAAGTGACCGGTGCACGTCACATTCACGGGACTGGCACTGGCACCAACAAATCAGAGTTCCGTCGCAGCCGCATGAAGAAGCACATAGACAAAAAGTAGCGCGCGCAAAGGAAACTTCAATTTCCTAAATTCCTAAATTCCTAACTAATGCAAAAAAAGAGATAAAGCGCTAATTCCGAAAAGAAAAACCGAAGCCCCGAGAGCTGTAGTGGCTCGACAAAATCCAAGAGGAAATTCGAAAAGCGAAATTCAAAAAAAAATTGAAAGGAACGCAACAAAAATTCCTGCGCGATGTTCGCGCCCAAAAGTCCGAAATCGGAAAAAAAAAAGCGACGTCAACATTTGTTAATCGCGCACGCTTCTCTACAAAATGATGCGCGGGGTCAGGAGGATGAAGGATGAAGTTGGAATTCCAAAGTCGTCC